CTGCTGTTAAAAACTGCCGTCGCCTAGTAATGCCGTGGTCTTGAACGCTGCCGAAGGCCTGACGTGTTTTCTGTGGAAACCTGGGTCCTGGCGCGCAGGGAGCTGAGTTTGAACAGATCCCTTTGTTCACTGGAGCCCTGTCGAGGTTGTTGGAGCTGTGTGTGGGCCCCTGGATCAGGGTCATATTGTGGTCTGACAGAAAGTGAAAGCTCTTCATCTGGTTTGATTTATAGCTCACTCAAGGGGTGGCCAACCTGTGGCATGTGTGCCCCAAGTGGCACAGGCAGCCTCTCTGTGGGGGATGTGGCAGATCAGGGAGGGGACAGACAGTATGACAGCAGATAGAGCAGGAAACAGAAAATGAAGCAGGAGAAGTGGCAGAGGAAAAGGATCCAAGTGGCTTTCAGGAGGGTGCAGTTCTCATTTGTGACATGCCTGCCAACAACATTGACCTCCCTGTGCTGATTGATTCATGTTGCAGGTGGGGCTCTGTGGATGCCCGTGTTCACGCACACACAGGGCACGTATCGGCGATTACAACTGGACAGGGTTAGGCAGCACTGACTCTGTTGCGAACCATGTGCAAGTTCTATTTTCCAGCGCCAGGCTGCACGGGTGCAGTCCAGCTGCCTTGTTAAGATGTTGCATGGCCAAGTCACCAGGCCACTGACATTACACTGACATCCTTGTAAAAGGAGCATGTGCAGGCACATTTTGCACACAGATGTGTGTTGAGCAATTTGTCTCTTCCTACTCTAATTTTGCTTGACTTATAATATTTAAGGAATGTTAAAATTCGTTTTGTATCTAATTAGGGACCTACCAAATTCATGGCGCGAGAACAATTTTCATGGCTTGGTCACAGCCTGAAGAGCTGATTTCAGGGTTGTTTTATGACAGCCCTGCCCTTTTGGTGCTAATTGGCCAAGAGGCCCTACCCCTTGGCACTGACTGGGGGAGAGGCAGGAGCTGGCAGCTGCCCTTTGTGCTGTCCCACCAGCTGGCACCTTCCCCTCCCAGGTGGGCTGCAGCAGCATCAAGGACCACTGGCTTCCTCTGGGGAGCCAGCATTTTCTTTTTATCATTTTTTTTTTCTAATTGATTTCCTGGGAAATGGCCACCAACGCTATTTTTTTGCGGTGATCACTCGTTTTCGCTGTTTCTGTGAAAATTGTGAAATCCCAATTTAAGTAGGTGTCTCTATATAATATTTCAAGTCTTGCCTCCCATTTGCTTTTCTTTCCCCCACTTCCCCCAAATCCATTACGTGGAAACATTGATCTCAATTGCATCGAGCAGCATGGGGAAATACCATGATTTCTAGTCAGACATTTGCCACTTGAATTAGATGAGTTACTTATAGCAGCAGGAAACTACTGTCTTCTGCGTGGAACTTTTTTCACTGGAGATGGGGAGATATGACAGTTTGTCAGTGAGTTTCACAGTTGTTATCAAAATGGTAGTGAAATGTGGACTGCCAAGGTTGTTGTCTTTGGAGATGAAAGGGGATCTAATTTTGTTCTGCAAGCATGTAGATATGGCAGCTTTGTTCTAAAAGATGGCATGGCTTTGTGCATGAGACTTCAGCCAACCACTATAGAGAAAGCATTCTCTAAGTCTGGCATAAGTGAACTTGTGCAGTTGTCCAGCGGTGACAGTGTGGCCTGCTTCACCTGCCTTCTAGCAGAGAGGAACGAGGCCTTGCTCAGTTATCAGAGCTGTGAAGAGCACAGAATTATTTCAGTGGAAAAACTGAGATCCCAACTCCTGGTCTCTTCTGGCTCTCAGCTTAGCATAGTCTCTTCCTAGGGCAAATGAGAGAGTTCCATCAGCAGCTCCAGCTCTGTGGAACCAGGAAGCATAGTAAATGCTAAGTCCAACGAGTGCTGAAAAGCATTTTGTGCATGTAGTGAAGCGCTCAGTGCCTTGCATCACAAGACTGGTCCTGAAATTGAATAATTATATTTAGGGTCTGCTAGAATCCACCATCAGTAATGTTGATCATTTTGCATCCCTTCATAGCACTGGAAGAATCCCTTATGATGCTTCTGTTCATTAACAATAATAGGGGCTTACTCTCAATATTTTAAAATGTTCCCTCAAGACCATTGATTTTACCATTTGATGATCTGGAATCACTTGTGCTATCTCAGTTCTGCAGTTGGATTATTCTAGATGTTGGCTAAACCACAATTGTCTTCAACGGGAGGGGCTCCTGACTGCAGATTTTCATTTTGCAAATATAACCCACTGAGTACATTCACTATGCCCAATCCACAGAGTCTTAGAATTTGTTACATCCACTTAATTGCTATAGAGTCTGCCTGTTTCGTTCAAGCTATAGCAGCTCTTATCATTGGGCTTGGTTCAGTGTCAGGTGTTGGTCAGGATGGCAGTTGTCACACACACAAACCTTGATCACAAGTAACTCCTAATATATGTGCATTAAGTGCCTTGAGCTATGAGACCTAATATTTTAAAATTAGGGCTTTGAAGCTATATCTGCACTGCCACCAACATGTGAATAAAACAGGGATAGACATACTCAAGCCAACTTTAATTTAGCAAGCTCAGATAACGGTAGCAGTGAACACGTTGCAGCAAAGACATCAGGTCAGGTTACTTGTCTGAGGGAGTGCTTTGGGGCCTGGGTGGCCTTGTACAGTCATGGCGCTGTGACTATACTGCTATTAGAATTCCAGGTATGTCTAGGTGCACCGCAAGGGCTTGTTCAGTTACGGTGTAGACACGTTCATTTCAGTTACCCATGACGTCAACTTTAAACATACTGTCTGCCTTGGCATGGAACTTTCTGTTGACTTTTCCCCTGTACAATACAAAAACCTAGATGGTTAGATGATCGATTTTATAATTGGACTCTGGAGTATACTAAGGCCACAGTGTTTGTGTTCTTGGAAAGGAAGCAAGTAGGTTATTGCGCTGGATAAATGCAGCCAAGTTTGAAATAAAGTTGGTAACATTTGTTTCTCTCTTTGTATAGATGTTGACTGGTGCTGGGATGCATGATGGAGCCTGTAACCCTTTCAGAACCACAGTCCCCCTTACAAAACAACTTGCCCACATCACCAAAGAAATTTCATGTTCTGGTGGGAGTTACTGGAAGCGTGGCTGCCCTGAAGTTGCCGCTTCTTGTCTCAGGATTGCTGGAGGTTCCTGGGGTAAGTAACTCTTATTGCAGGTCATTAGCATGCTATAAAAATGATGTTATCTTGCCACCTGTTTCTTTTTTCTTGGTACAGAGTAGATGGGTCAGTTAGCAGTGAAAAGCTGACTTTGGAGACAGCCCTAAAGTCTGGGCATTTTACTGTCTCTTCTTATTTAAAGTGCAGAAGCTATTCCTGAATAACTCTGGGTGTGGATACTTTTATTCTGGGGAAAAAAGAGCACCATTCCTGGTTAGCTCAATCCATTTGAAAGTTATTATTCAACTAATCTGCATTAACTCAGTGGAAAGACAGGCCTTTTGTAGGCTTTGCACAGCTAACTGGTGTAAAAACTATGGGCATTTTTACACATGCAAGCGCCACAGTGGCGACGCACTTATGAACTAAAACACATTGGAGGTGCTTTGGTTCAAAAGCTCAACACCACCATTTTCTGTGCGCTTATATGAATTTTGCCACTTATACAGCTGCACATGGCATACGGCACAGTTTGTCTCAACTTGCGTGCAGAACAGACTCAATTAATCGAGTCTGCTTCGAAGTGGCAGATCTGTGGTGTGTTGCAGGACAAAAAAGTGTGTGTATAAATGCCCTATGGGTATCAGTTAAGCAGATTTGGCTTTGAGATCTGTGGAGAGAATAGGTGCCACATGCTCCCTGAAACCTCAAGTCAGTAGTTCAGATCTTACAGTCTACATATGCCGAGTCGTTGACGCACACAATTTCAAAGATAGAAGCTAATGACAAACAAGAGGAGATGGTAGAAAATACATAATAGGGGCATCTACATGCACATGTCTTAGTGCCTGCAGTAACACATTTACCCAGCAGATGCTAGTCTTGGCCAGAAATGAAGAGACTTTGATGCCAGAAACAAGAGGAGGAAGGATAATAGTTATTACTTTAGATTAAAGTTAAAAGAATGTTTGGGGAGGCTTTACATTCTGGAAACAAGCCAATTCCTTGTAGAACATGGAGGGATGGAGAGAATGAGAGAAAAATTGTGCTCTTTAAATACAGGCCACATAAATAATTCCTTTCTACTGCCTGGATTGCTGGTTGACCTTTTTAATACCCTTTGCATTAAGTATTATCCTTTACTTCAGACTCACAGCTTCCAGTGAGATTCAGAAACAGAATTTAATATTTTAAATGCCACTATGAAACTAATCAATTGGTGGTAATAGCAAATCTAGAAAAGTTGGTGAAGGTATAGAGAGCTCTTAAGGTATTTGGGTTGTCAATCCCTACTAGCTGTTGTATGCAAAATTCAGCTGGCAGTGTGGAAGGCAGGAATGGATCCTAGTTATCTTTCCAGCTCCAGTAATTTCTGAATGTGTCTCAAGATTCCAGAGTAGCCTGGAGAGGACCAATGACAAAAGATGCAGAAATAGGAAGAGGTCAGATCTGAATAGCTCCAACCTTCATGCATTTCTGCATGCTTGGAATGTAGAGTGTTCAGGGATCACCTGGTTCCCACAATCCTTCGGTGTGTACAGAAGTGCTCCATTCACATTTTACAGTGCTATAAGTTAGAGCATTTTTGTAGCACTATAAATTTACAGCGCTCTTAATCATGACAGAAGTACAGTGTTTGGTGGGGAAGGGAACCTCTAAGCCTCCCTGCACTTTCAAGGCTGGGAGGCAGGGGGTGTTCTACAGCCTCCTGATGCTTCTCCACTGGTCAGAAATTTGACCAGTGTCCAGAAGTTATTTAAAGCCCTGTAGGTTGCTAAAGCACTATATAATATAGCACTTCAAATTTAATAGCTCATATAACAAAGGTTAATTAAAAGTGCTGTGCCCATTTTTAAGGTGCTGTAAGGCCATGCACTTCTGTTAAGTCATATCAATAAAGCGCTTTAAATGGTGAAAAAAGCAACTTCTGTACACACTTGTACACTTATTCGTAGTCACCTAAGTTTCCATCTCTAGGAGATGTGGATCACAGAGTCCACAATACTGTGCTCACTGCCCTGTTGCTCCCATCCCCTGTTGGTATCTGGAGCACCTCAACTGTGAAAGTAAAAGGAAGAAAGAGAATTTTATGCTTTGTGGAGCCTTGATCAAAGTACATCCCTTCTGCATGAATATTTGATAATTAAATACATTTTGCAGAAACCTGGTTCTAAATTCTAAGGTAAACCTTCAGGAAGGCTGCAGGCTACACAAACATTTGTGTGGGATGACTTAGAAGGGATCCTACCTTGAGCAGGAGGTTGGACTAGATGACAGCTTGTGGTTTCTTCCAGCCTCATTTTAGTGTAATTCTATGATGCTTCAAGGCAGACAAGGTTCTTTGGGTAAATGTGATATCTTTTATTAGACCAACTAAATAGTTGGAAAAATTGTTCTTTGCAAGCTTGCAGGCACAAATGCTGCTCTTAAACATGTAGAAAGTCGAGACAGAGACACAGAGAATATGCCTGAAGAAGGATGTTTGTGCCCGAAACCTTGCAACTATTTAGTTGGTCTAATAAAAGATCAAATCTACCTAAAGAACCTAGACCAACACAGCTATAACCAACAACGTTATGATGCTTCAATGCAGAAGCCGAGAAGTTTTGTATCAGCTTCTCTCAAAATAAAATGGGGTTTTCAATTAATGAAATAATGAAGATCCAGATAACTCTGGAGTCCCTGCATTTTTCTTGATAATAATAAGTTCTATTTATTTGTACAGTCTAAAGTCAATAAGAGTCTTTCAGTGACATCAACGGGTCCTGAATCACATCCTCTGTTTTCAGCTGTCTGCAGATTTTTGTATTGACAATGTAGAATTATCTTCAAGAAGTTGTCAGTGGAAACTGTTTAGGGAGTTAACTAAAGTGTTTGGTACCCAAGGAAATATGGTTGGAGGTCTGGGACTGTAGGATAAACATGTTAGGAAAAAGTTCCTTTTGAAAACATAAGCAGGGAAATAGTTACTGATGTAGATTGTTACATTTCAGATTTAGAACCCCCTTCAGATGAATGCAGAAATTAACACCTCTCCTAGGTACTCACTTAGACCTTCCAAGAACCTTGGAAGTTGAACACTGTATCAGTTAATATGTTTAAAGTTATCAGTACCATAAGGTCTGCTGAAGTAGAAAGGAATAGTGTGGCTGTTGGGAAGGTCTGGTGGTCACCGACATGCTCATACATTGCTTGTGTACACCAAATCATTGCTGTCACCGACCCTTTAAAATGACAAATGACAGATAAGCTCAGAGGAAGAGCATCAGCTGGGGGAGACAGTGAAACATGTAATCCAGAATTAGCTCTGGATGCGGATTGCCACTCTGCACACCTCTGGGTATTTGCTGAGCCTTCAAGCATGAAGAACATACCACATGACTCTATCACACTCCTCTCTATTAGGTGACAGCTACATCAGCTTATGGTAGCGCTTTAGTAAAGGAGCCACATGCTTATTGCAGCTATTATAGAGGCTCAGTCTACACATTTTATTTTTCTGGCACAACTATATTGGTTAGGAGTATGAGAAAGTTGCACACTTAACTGACATGGGAAAGCCAACAGAAACCAATATATAGACACAGTGATACTGGTAACACATTCCTTTTATTGGTACATCTTATTCTGTTCAGGAAACTAGCTTAAACAGGAGGACTCTCTTGCCAGGCTAAACTACATCTTTATTAGAAGAGTTCGTCAATATAGCTATGCCAGCAAACCTCTTTAAACCTAGACATGTCCAGAGGCTGTTACAGATAAACAGAAAGGAAAAATACCCAGGGGAAAGCAACAGTGGGAATACTGATTTCTTTCCAGCCTAAGAGGGAAGGACAAGAAAGACCTGTTCAGAACAAGTAAGTAATGAGCCCATCCCAGCAGAAACATGTGTAACAGCAAGAATAATTAATCATTAGAATAGGTTATCCAGGGACATGGTGAAGTCTCCATCACTTGGAGTCTATAAATCAAGATAAGCTGTCCTTCAAAAGGATGTGCTCTTGTTCATGCTGGGGTTGATACAAGACTTACTAGGTGAAATTTTGTGGCTGGTGTTACACAGAAGGTCAGGCTGGCCTTTGATTCTATAGAAGAAATGGAAGAAAGAGAGGATTTTTAATGTACCTTAATTCCAGCAAAGTGCTTGTAAACAAGCCTTTAGAAACACTAGACAATTTAACTGTACCAGTATCAAAGCAACAAAATACTTCTAATGTGGACCCAGTGGGCATGTCTACATGTGCAGTTAGTGCCCATGGATAAACTCCAGAGTTTATCGCTTGTGAGTTTTTTGCTCCAATGCACTCTGCTGTTTGAACATGCTCCTGGGAGCAATTAATTCCAGGGCAATCAGCTCTGGAGTTTATTCATACACAGCACATGAAACCCGGTCAGAGCAGCCCTGGCTGGCAGGGGCTCAGGGTGTTGTGGAGGGACTGGCTGGGACATAAGGGTGCTTCAGCATGGCAGTCCCTGTACTGAAGCACCAGTGCCCCAGACAGCTTCTACATGTGTGTGCTGCACATGCAAAAACTCTGCAGTAAGGTAGCACTTGTATTTACCCTAATTTTCTGTGCCCTAATAGGGGCACACATGTAGACGCTGAGACTTTTACTGCAGAGCTAATGAGTCAGCTCTACAGTAAACATCTCGTGTAGGTGCCCACTTACATCATAAGAAAATTCTGGTACCAGTATAGCTTATTCTGGCTTATGAATAGAAATAAACTAAGTGGATACAAGGCACTGTTATACCAATTTAAATGCCTCTTCACTAGGGCCCTTAACAATATAGCTGTATTGCAAAAAAAAATAACATCCCTATCCACATAAGCCTTGTTCACATTTAAAAGAGCTTGTGAGTATAGTTTTATTAGCAAACACTCTGAATGTAGGCACAGTTTATACCAGCAGAACACAAGTTGTACCAGTTACATGAACTAAATGAGGTGCAAAGCAAAAGTGTCATTATCACTATATCTACACTAGGGTTTTTGCCAATATAGAAAGGTAGTATAATAATCATAGACTTACTGGCAACATTTTCTAGTGTAGACCTGGCTACAGTAATACTAGTAACATTTTAAAGTGGAGATCTGTCATATAGATTGCAAATTCTGTAACAGGTGACCTTTAAATAATAACCTGTAGACTTTGAGATTCACATCTCATTGAAGAAATGGAATCGTCTGTAGTGGAGTTAACACCTTTGCTGCTGTTGGGTTAGAAACCAACTATTGACGATGTGAGGTTAAGAGGGAAATGATGGAAAAGGCTAGAAACTTGTGTGAGATTTCACACACGGGCTCTGAAAACAAGCAAAAATGTTTGGAAAGAGCCTGATGATGCAGGATACCCAGGGTAGGGTCCTCTTGTGAAAATAAGTTCAGGGAAGAAGGGAGGACAGGAATATACTGTACTGTATAAGCTACTTAAGATACCTGTGGGCATTACAGGCAGTCATTTAACTAGTACAAATGGAACTAACTATTTGCCATATCCCTTTGGCTTCATTATTTAAAGGCACTGTTTATTGCAATTTAAACCTGCCTCTACTTAGTTCAAGAACATCATGCTCTCAGTTTTTGGCACCTGATTAATGCTCCTTACATTCTTGCTCAAAGCCTGTTATTCAGAGCTTTTTCATTCCCTATTAAGCCTAGTTGCCTTGTTATTTAGAGGGCCATACTTTAACAGCAGCCTTGAAAAGATAACTCAGTTTCAGTGCTGGTAATAGTAATTGAGGTGTGCTGGACAGATTAACATCTACCCCATGTGCTGGGTGATTTTCTGATTCCCAAATGAGGCTGCCATATGCATCCTTAAAAAGTTCTGGGTACTCCAGCTAACTGCTTGTTGCTCAAATTGCAGTTTATAGGTATGTGCCCCTTCATTATGTTCTGATACAACCACTTCAAAGCAGTATAGCCTAAATTAGAAATGGACTCTTTTTTTATTCCATAGGAGGAAGGTCTACATGGCAGCTGCATGAATATATTAACAGTGACATAATTATACCAGTGTAGTGATGCTAGCAAATCTTCCTGTGTAGAGATTAGATTCTGCAGTTAACAGGAAAAAATTACCAAAAAGGGCTGACATTTTAGAGCTAGAATTTTCCACTTTCTTGGTTATCTTCATTAACAAGGATGGAGATAACAGACTAAGATCTTCATTGTTAGCCTGGCTGTAAAACAGATAATGTTGTTGAGATTGGTAAACCTGTTTCCTCACTGCAACCCTGATTGTAAGAGATACCACCTTGAAGCTCAGAAGTTGCACCAGCCTATGCGAACAACAGGAGTGCACATGGTTTCTGTCACATTGAGTAAATCTTCTAAATCCCATGAAAAAGTATATCGCTATGAACATTCCTCAAATTTTCTCATGGCTGCATCTCCTCAGGTGGAAGCTATAGTGAGAAGTACTGGTTTGCACTGGCCACCACCATTATTCCTGGCTTGGAGTAGATGACATGGTAAGAAAAATGCCTATACCTGCATCCTGACTGCTGGAAATATGTGTGGATATGCATCAGATGTTAGGGGAAAAGTGGTACAATTTATCTCCTTGTAGATAAAACCATGCAGTTATACCAAGGCTGATAGGCTGCTGAATGCAATTCAATTTCTTATGCAGGAGGTTCACTTAGATACAGTCAGCTAAATAAAATTCTTGCCGATCAGCAATAGTCCTAGGAAACAAGGATTGAGTCTACACAGAACAATGCTGTGCTGAACAGAGGTTCCTGAGTTAGCACTAAATGAGCCTACTTGAGCATCAGGATCAGGTTAGCCATGTCAGTGCAATGCTGCACTCAGCAGGGTAAATTAGATTTTGGCAGAGTGCCACACTGATGTGGTTATGCTTCTTCCAGAAGTCAGGCTAGGTTAGCTGACTTGAGTATTTCCACAAAGCACTGCCATTGTGCTACCTGTACCTATGCCCCAATAGGTACATGCTTTGATTTCTTCCAACCTGCAGCCCTTGGTGCCATGGTCTAGGGGTGCTTCCAGAGCCAGGCAATCTCGCACACCTTTTCCATGCATATCTCATGATCAAATAGCACCTTTTATGAAGCTTCATTTTTTGTCATCTTGAAGGTTTTTTTGCTCTGAATCACATTTCTCTTCCATCTACATAACTAACTCTAGTCATCTTCACTGGCCCAACCACTGTTATACAGTGGTTTATATATACAAGGGACCAAATGACTAAACACCTGTCTACTCCTCTGAGGAACTGGAGTGAGTGTCAGCACTCGCTTGAGCCTCATCTTTTCCTCAGTGCGCGGAAGGAGTAAATACAGATGTGAGCAGCAAGGGTAAGTTTTCTTCATATCAGAGCCGGATCCCAAATGCTTTGCCACCTATGTCCTCCTGCTTTTACTCCATATCTCATCCTGGCTTTTACATTAAGCTGTAATTATCTATCTTGCCCTCTTCTCTCGTTAGGTGGAAGTGCAGGTGGTCACCACTGAGAGGGCAAAGCATTTTTACAACCCCCAAGAGATTCCTGTAACTCTCTACAGTGATGCTGATGAATGGCAGGTCAGTATCTCTCCTTTTTTCACCTCAGTCTGCTCTCAGTGGTTGCTGAGTAATTTCTTTGCTGGCTCCATGTTTTATATAGGAGTTGCCATTTCAGATCAAGCAGTTTGTTCATCAATATGTGGATCCTTTTTCCAGACATGGCTAGCAGCTGCTGATGGCTCAGAGCAAGGCAAACCCTATCCTTCGGTAATCTGCTTAGTCATTCATGCGGATCCTGCATGTGAGACAAAATAATTATTTGATGATCCTATGCAATTGATCAGTTTTTCCTGAAGTATGAGCCTGGCAAATTGATTTTATTTTAGAGTCTTTGAATCCAAGCCCAAAGTAATTAAAACCACACAAGTAAAATATTGCTCTCCATGGATGATGGTGGTTTTCATTTTTATTACATAGATGCTTAGAGGTCCTGGCCAATATCAGATCTGTATTGTGCAGTGCTGTACAAACACAATGTAAGAGGTAGTCCTTGGTGCTAGTGTTTACAGTCTATATAGACAAGAGAAACAAAGCATGGAAGGAAAAGAGTGTTATTAGTAGATGGTGCTGCAACCTAACCCGGTCACCTCTTGGAAAAGACACCAGCTTATTGTGAGAGGATCCAGCCATTGGATTCTAGCATTCCTAAACTACTCATAGTTGGTTGAGTGGGCACTGTCCCTTGCTCTGGGTCACTTTGGCACATTCCAAGGTATGGTGCCCATGCCTGATACCTTTCCTGTATAGCGCAGTCTTGCCGACCTCTACCCTGGAATGAGGGCCTGGACCCTCTTGATGCCTGAGTTGCACAAACATGTTCTCCAGATCCATCTAGCAGTAGCTCTGGTTTCTCAATTAACCCTTTCAAGGGCAACAAGATAGAAAGGCAAAGAACACAGAGTTAGCAAAGGAATGTCCCAACTGTAAGCACTTTACTCTTAAATGGCACTAGATAGATACAGATCTTTGGGAAAAGAACACATTGTCCTGAGAGACAACCTTCAAGTCTAATCTCAGTCCTTCTGTTAATCTGCATTTGATAGGCATTCATAGATAGGCAGCCCTTTTTCTTGCCTTCTCTCTACCAGCCTATTGCAATGGATACAGCTCCACACACAGCAATTCCTTTTGAATATGCTGATCCTTTGATTGCTCTGTTTTGGTTTCCTACAAATAGATGCTCTACTTCACAATGAAAGTTGCAGTCCAAAGTGACAGTGAAAGTTGCAATCAAAAATGGGATGGAAGGCACGATGTGGTTTTCTCAATTTGACACAGACACACACCCAGTATGGTGTAGATTACACAGAAGCTGTGGCCAGTACCACAAACAGAAACCTGCAAGCCATTACCCTGTTAGAACAAACCTCACACTTTAAACAAATAGTAAGCCAAATAAATACACCAAAGATCTCTGCATTTTCACTTTTATGGATCATCAAACAGCCATTCCTAATTGTCCCCAGGCAGTTCAGCTCCATGAACTAAAAAAAAACAAGAGCATCCCAGTAGTCTGAGAATGTGTGTGCTCCAGGTTCCATTCTGCCAGGGCACAGTTCTCTGGCATGGATCGAGGATGTCTACATGCTTCCACTTGTAATGGGACTCCCAAAGTCTGTGGTTCCAACTACAACAGTGGTCTCCAACCTTTTTAAGTAGGAAATCACCTTTGGCATTTAAAAGCACCCCAAGATGTAGCATGCGCCATTGCCACTTCCCCTCCTCCTCTCCCCCCCTCGCCGAGCAGGGAAATCTGTGTGGAGGGAAGAGTGGGACAGATGGAGTCAGAGGGAGAAAAAATTATTTGGGGGCATGCCTCCCCAGCAGGTAAGTCCCACCCAGCCAGGGCCGCACTCAGTGTACCCCTGCTCCTGCCTCTGTGGCACTGTCCCTCACTGTGTTGGCCTTGATCTAACCCCGATTCCTTCCCTCCCTCACGGACTGACCTGCTGGGCTAGGGTGCATGCATGCATGCATGCGGGCGCTCAGCGCCCCACCCCAGCTTCGGATCAACTCCAAGAGGCTCCTAGATCTATCGGTAGATCGAGATCCGCTGGTTGGTGACCACTGAACTAAACTGAGCCAGAGAATCATATGCTGTCTCTGTAGTCTTGTGACGCCATGGAGTGAGAATTCTCTGACCAGTCAGGACTCAATGGTTGTTTCTACCTTTCTGAATAGAAGCCAGAAGTGGCTAAAAGCCACTGCAAAGCCATGGGTGCAGGCATGTGCTTGGTGTGCTTCACCCAATTTAAACAACTTCTGCTTGATTACCATTATTGTTAATCCTTGCTTGCAGACATTATGAATAATCACAGAATTATCCATTTCTCCTTAAAATCCAGCCCCAGTATTTGACTCTGTAAACTCCAACATCAGTGGATCCCAGGCTGACTGTTCATTGCATAGGTGAATCTTTGCAAATCTGATCTGTGCTCAGTCTTGTTGCAGAGTCTTACCTTATTCACTTCTTTATGGCTTTGTTATGTGAGATGAGTCCCTCCCATTTGTTTTCCTCTCGTAATTTTACTACTAATTATGATTCCTAACTGGAGACTTCTAGCACTTGAAGAGTCTTTTTTCTTAAGCACAGATCCTGTCACGAAGCCCAGTCAGTCCAAGCAGATTGAAATTATTTGTCAATCCTGCAAATAATTTGTATTTGTGGCAGTGGGAGACAGGAGTTTGTCCTGTATGAATGAGTTACTCTTTGCTATTTGTTAGCATCTCGTGGAAAGGGAGGAGAGTCCGTTGTTCATTGTCATTTGCATAGTCATCTGAGATCTTCAGAGAAGAGTCGAGTCAAATAGTGAGTTGTGAGCTGAAGTCCCACTCCAGGACCAGGGCTCTTGCACCAGCACTGCTAGGGTAGTGCAGCAGTAGGGGAGAGGGGTGTTTTCCAGAGGCACAGCCCTTTGAAAGAGACGGTTAACTCAGATCTCTTTGGCTTATCTCTGCTGAATTTTCCAACATGAGTTAGATCTCCCAAAGTACTTCTGTGTCAAAGTAAGGGATAGTCTGGCTGTGCTTGCACCTGCTAACGCTCCCTTGCTTTCTAGCCTGCCTTCTTCAGTTCAAGGCTGCAAGGGCATACATGGCAATCTTTCCCTGCTAGGCAGTGGAGTACTCAAGAGCTTTGTACTGCTTTTCACAAGCTGCCTCCTAAACCATGAGCAGCATTGCCACGCCCATGCAGAGCTCCAGATGGACTTTTTAGCCTTGTGTGCTAGTTCCAGCTAGCCTGCCCCCAAGCTAATTGTGGCTCCACTGCTCCTGTCTTAGGAGTTAGTGTGATAAGCAGTACCACTTCCTGAAGGAGTAAGCATACCACACAAGCATGGATCTTAGAGAGCCATTGCTGCATGTGGAATAACTGCTGTTTGATGTCTGCTTTGAAATACCATAAGTGCAATGGGGATCATGATATAAATGCACGTGTTTCATCTTCCATCTGAGTGTAAGGAGACTTGCCCTTTCTCACATAAGCACTCACCAGTATGCATTGCGTTCCAGTGAAAGCGACCCAAAAGCTTTCCAGGCCTTTCAGTGAGGTACATGGGCAGAGGCCAGGCACCACCTTCTTGAAGTGTCATAGTTCAAGACTCTGAGGCATATTGACAGGGCTGAGGGCAGGGGGCCCAACCTTGGAATGGTCGGAGTGCTGCAGGGCATTGGCCAAGCTGGAATAATAGAAGTTGCAGGTCAGGATGTCTGCGAGTAGAGCCTGCTCGTGTTACGCCTGGCTCCAGTTAAATAAAAAAGTACTATTTTAAAAAAAGCTTGAGCTTTTCATCTTTTTTTCTTTTACGAGTGAAAGAGCCCTGCCCTGGAAAGGTGGTAGGAAAACAATCTATTCCGGATGCTGCCTCTGTTGTGGCTTTGGGTGACTCATAGTGTGAGCAGTCTGTGGCCCTGAAACACACTTCTTGTTGCCCTGTGGTTTTGTGTGTCCTTTAGGGTTTAAGGCACCTGATCTTGTTCACTTCTACTCCTGACATTTACCTGCTCATGTGCCCTAGCTCCAAAATCAGATAACTCCCCTGGCAGCATGAAACTTCTCTGCAAACTAGAATGATCACCTAGAGAAGTCAGAGCTGAGAAAGGCCAACTTAACTCTATCTGGTGATCCTACAGAAATCTGGGCAGGAGTGTTCCCTGTGTTGCAGTCATAAGGCTAATGTTTTCTAACCTGCCAAAATCCTACTTCTAAAACGCCCCTGACTCTATGGCTTGTTGCACATGAATAGGCGTTGAAGTCAATAGTCTGATCTACTCTACAAAAGTTTACAGGTATAGAAAGATATCATGCCTTTCAGCCAACACAGCTGTGCCAGCAAAGCTATCTGAGTGGACGCAGCTCTGCTGACAGAAGAGGGCTTCTACGAGCTAGGAAGTGGCATAGCTAAGCAGGCAGAAAAAAACCCTTTTGTTACTATGGTGCATCTCCATGGGGCACAGCTGTGGTAACAGCAGCCCTGTAATGAAGATGACTTTAAATTATATTCAGAAAGGGAACTTAGTCTCCTAGGTCATCGAGGCACTTTGGAAATTATTATAATGGAGCTTCTGCTATTTCCTTTGGGTGGATATTTCTTATTCCGAGAGAATTTTGTTCTGAATGTCTGAGATTTAGGAGCGCTCTGTAACAAATGCCCTCTTGTGTGCTATGGGAACTATAGTGGTCTGACACATAGATCTGAGAGCAATAGAGACAAGATTATTTGTTACTTGTCTGTACGCCACCTAGTGCAAGGAATACATTAGAGGCCTTGACACAAGTGCCTCCATTTTGTATGCATCATCCATTATATAAAGATAGGAGCTATATGTTGTTGCTTTAAGTGTGTAACTAGAAATTCTGGGTTAAGCTGCAGAAGTGTGGCTAAAGCAGAAAGCCCCAAAAGCCTGTTTCCGAGTGACCACAACATGAGCATGAGTCAGTAAGCTTGGTCAGCAAAAGAAAGCAATCAGTTAACGTGTCCAGCTGAACTCAGTCAGATTAAACAGAGCACAAGGCTTTAAATTAGATAGTCCAAGCACATTGTATCATAGCTTATCCATAAATGTAGGAATAATTGATGCAACCAAATGTATTAGATACAGCTTAGTGTTAATAGATGTATTTATGTTAGGTTTCTTAGGGCAGCCTTATCAGTGAAAACCATAAATAACCAAAACAAACTGGTGGCACTTAACATTCCATCCTGGTGAAGGAAGGCGATTAAGGAATCCTTTCTTCCAGAAGTATAACTGTCACAGCAACATAAATCCCAACTAATTGGCATCTTCTACATCAAGAAGAGAACTGGTTCAGTCCAGTTCCAAAAGTTTCAGTGAAACAAAGAGATTTGAATATATCCAATCAAAGTGTAGATAAATGCATATTATTAATTATTGTATATCTATGGTTGTAAACATGGGGAGCATTGGGGAATAATTGACCCACGTTGTTGGGGAAATTGAACAACTAACAAGAACTCAGAGATCCTTGGGTCCAGCCTACACCCATCCTCCCAGGCACGAGGATGCTTTTTGTATTTCCATTGACCTGAATGATAGTTAAATGTATGTTTAGCTTTCCAATAAAGTAGTTCCCTTGAGAAAAGATAGGCATCCTGTCTCTTTATTCCAGGGCCCTGTCTGACAAAATAAGCTCCCTCTGTCCCAGCTGGGAAAAGAGGACTTCCTTTCACCTAGCATGGTGAAGCCTTGCTCCTTGATTGGGATTCCTCAGTGCTGCCTTAATATAATGGCATCTGTTGAAAGAGAACAGTAGGAGGTGTGTGACATTCAGGGTAGTAGCACTGTGGTCTCTTCTCTCCAGCATTATTAGGCTTTGCTCCATATGTGTGTGCCTCTTTCTACTGGCGCCAGTTTTCTTGGTTTAGTGCCTGCAAATTGGTTATTATTGCTAAAATAGTTGTACCTGAAAAATTTCACTCAGCTCTATTAAGCATGAGGAGCCATATGGTGCCCATTGTTGTATTATGTGTAGCTAGAGGGCTCAGTGATCCAACCATCTCTGTTACTTACAGCTGTGGAAAGACCGCTCAGACCCAGTCCTCCACATTGACCTGAGACGCTGGGCTGACCTGATGCTGGTGGCTCCTCTGGATGCAAATACACTGGCAAAGATAGCAAATGGGATCTGTGACAACTTACTGGTAAGTGCATCCATGACTGGGCCTCTCATCCAACTGAGTTCAGGCTAAAGACATCTGTTCTGTTCCTGCTTCCCAGTTTCTCCCCTATGTGCTTTCCTTACCTTCCAGGGGCAGGGACTGGCTCTGCATTTGTATGGCACCTAGCACAGTGGATGTGATGGACCAAGTTGTAGGTAGTCTGACGTAGTGGTTAGGCCACCATAGGATGGCCAGTCAGAAACACGGGTCAGTTTGGACTTGAGAAACAGATACAAAGTTACCAGATCTAGGGGAAATCCAGGGGCAAGGTCCAAATCACAAGCCAAGTTGAAGTTCAGGAGTCAGAGACTGAATTAGCAAATCCAAGGGAAAATCCAGAAGCCAGAGTCCAGGAACAGAGCAAGCTGGGTCAGGAAACTAGGAGTATTAGATCACAAAGGCCTGCCAGGGCAGACCTTCAGCGAAAACTTTTGGGGGGCCTGGAGCCTGCTGCCACAGATAAATGGGAAAGCTGTTGTACGAGCAGCCAGTCAGGAGACCCAGACAGTAACCAGCTGGGGTCATTAGCTGGGTTAGGGCTTCAAAGCCCCAGGCATGTGTGGCCAACTAGACAGGTAGCCCAGGCTGGGCCGCCTGTTAAGACCCCTGACAGTGGAACTGCTAGTTGTGATCGCAGTTTCCATAATAAGTAGGACTCTGCGAAATTTCTCTGGCAGTTCTGTTTCAACGCTGTTTCGACTTGTTTCGAGCTTGAAACAGCAAAATCGAAACGAAACAGAGAGCTTCGAAACAGCCTCGAAATGAAACGAGGCAAGTCAAAACGTTTCAAAATTTTAAAAACATTTCAAGTTTTGAAGCTCAGGCTGGGCTTGCCTGCAGGGAAACAGCAACTAAAGTAAGGAGAGGGAGGGGGAAGTGGGGGGGGAAGGAGGAGTGCTCTCATTATTGACTGTGTAGCTGGCTAGTGACTGTCATCCTTTCCTGAGGTCTCTTCCAATCCCAGTGCTCTGGGGGAGGGATGGAAAAACTGCATAAAAGGCAGCATTGTTTGGACTGCCCTGCTTTCTGCCTTGGTGTCAGTTGAGTGAGGGCTCACCTTAACACACGCACAGTGGCACCCACCCATGTTATGAGTTTTGTCTGTCAGCAGCTAGAGGTGCAGGGCCCCAGAGCCCCTGTACCTATCTCCTTGACAGCTGGCAGGCTTCGTGGCCTCAGCAGGGGCTAGCAAGCCTGCAGTTTTCACTCTGCTGCGCCTTAACACGCATACAATGTCACCCATGTCAAGTTTTGCTTGTCTGCATCTTGAGGTGCATTTTCCCCCAAACCCCTGCACCTGTCTCCTTGAAACTTGGCAGGATTTGTGGCCTCAGCAGGGGCTAGCATGCCTGCAGTTTTGACCCCACTCTGGCTTAACACACACACACGATGTGAGGTTTTTTTTGCTTTCAAGACTTTGAGGTGCAGTTTCCCTGAAACCCCTGCACCTATCACCTTGAAACTTGGCAAGCTTCATGTCCTCAGAAGGGACTACCATTCCTGCAAGGTTCATCAAAATCAGGCTAGAAATGACAAAGTTATAGGCTGTTTTGAGCTTCCCCATTATAGCCTATGGGCGAAACGTTGAAACAGCGGAACTTTTTTGAAGAAACGAAACAGAACAGCAGTTTCGAATCAAAATGAAATTCAAATCAAAATGCTGTTCTGTTGAGACATTGAAACACAAGTTGAAATGGAACGGTACCATTTCGCACAGCCCTAATAAGAAGTAATAATAAACTGATCTCTTTTGCCTTCTCTATATGCTTCTCTCTCTTCCCATGGGCTTCGTGTCAGTCTCTTTCCAAACACTTTTACTCTCCAATACACATCCCTCTGGCCCGTCTTACAATCTCATGCCCCTCCTCTTTGTTCTGTTGGCTGATTTTTTTTTTTCTTTCTTTCCCCCCCACCCCTCCCCCCACCCCAACCTCCCTTACATCTACATCCTCACCATGCCCTTTACCCTCCCCCTTCCCTGCATGCACATACATTCTCTTGTCAGTTTGCCCTTCCTCTTGTCATTTTAGACACAGCCTGGAAAGACACCCATGAGATCAGATAAGTTTGTTTACTTCCTGCCAGCCCTCCCTTCCTCACCTAAATGCATAACACAGACATCCAAATCAGCACACTTGCACATGTATTTACCTCCCAGTTTCAGCCACAGAGGGTTTTGTGCAATGTTGTTTTTCTGGTATTTAGAGTAGCTTAAGCTGAAGGTGTGGAAAAGAGACTGGTCAGAGAGGGTGGAAAAAGGGAGTCATCTTCTGTACTTGGTAAAGACAGGCTGATCAGGAACTCCTGTGTACCCAAGTGCCTGGGGACCAGGGACAGGTTTTCATTAAATAGGAAGGGTCACACATTTTTTAGGACTCTTTGAAGAGCATACAGATCTGCACGTGTAGCAGTAATGCAAACTGTTCCCTCAAATCCCTGTCCCTGAAATGAGTGGAGAGTGGGTGAAATGAGGTATATATCTAAAGAAATGTGAGAAGCATTTCCAAGCTCTCAGTGGCTGAGCTCCACTATTAAGAAAAAACAAAGCCACCATAAATGATTAAAATAAAGCTGCAGGGATGGTTTTCACCTAAGTGAGGAGGTAAAATATTTTCAGCTATTTCAGAGCAACAGGAAGCCTTAGGAAAGACAGGAGAGACAGATTGCACACTCTCTCCTAGACACTTAAGTAGACCTAGGCACTCAAGTACAATCCTATTCCACCCTGCTCAAGTCCCTGAAAATCCATCTGTTCTCCTACTTTTGTAACATGCCTTCATCTTAGCCATAAGAGCAAGTCACAAAGCAGCAGAGAGAGGGAAAGGGAGTTCATCCATCTTTAGTATTTACTATTAAGGACTTGAGTAGAGTGGGATAGGATTGCACTTAGGCATCGAAGTGCACTCAGGCACTTAATAGGTGGAGTAGATGCTGGCCCAGGTTGTTTTCTTATTCAGTGTTTGTGGAGCTTGGTTATGTTACTATAGAAATATAAACACTAGTAACAGTGCAAAGCCCATGAAGATCTCCCTGTGCATTAGAGGCAAAGAGGGTTTACATTTCCACAACTGTTAGTCTTTTTTGGGGACATTATAGAGGAATAAGACAAAATATTGATGTGGACGTGTCAGCTCACACCTAGCTGGGAATCCAAGTTAAGAGGATAAGACTTTAATTGTTCTGGGAAAAATGCATAGCACACAGTACAAAATAACAGGCAGGAAGTTGACTGAGCATGATGCGACTCCAACAGAGATCCTATTTCAAGTGTAAATACCTGGAAGGATGCTATAGCAAACTTGACCAGCTTGAATCTCATTATATTCTGTCAGCTCTGAAAGCCAGACAGAACTGGCTGAGCCCTATTTTGACAAGCATGTTTGGAAATGACCATCAGTTATCTCCTTAAAACTGGATTAATGTTTAGTAATTTCCAAATTGTGTATCGCTGTAACTTTCCTTGTAGTACAGAGCAGCTACCTGATGCTTGACATGTTTTCTAACATGCCAGATATATTTATCATACTCTATGCTAGGTATATCAGTAAAAGAGGCAATACTTCATTCACTGACAAGATTACACATCCAAGTAATTCTCCTGTTAGGCAAGGGCTGTCTAACTGGTAGCCCATGGGCCGCATACCACCCAACTGTCACTTACCCTATTGCTCTGGCTGCAATAGTAACAGTCAGAGGCTCTAATCTTCCTCTCCCTGGCTTCTGCTTTCTGCCTTGCCCCAGAGGGCAGGGTAGAGCAGCACAGCACAGCCCATGGTGCCAGGGAAACCATGCATGGGGTCCTAGCAGGGTGTGGTGCAGTGGTGTGGTGCAGTGGAGGAGCGCATAGCCAGGGGACTGAGATGGATCAAGGGCACTTACACCTGCACAGAGAGTGCAGCAGGTAGAGGCAGGGAAACACTCGCATGTCCAGTGCAGCAGGGAGCACCTGTGTGGTCAGTGAAGCAGAGGTGTGCCTTGGGGCCCCGTGGCCTGCACTGGTAGTGTCTATTAGAGCCCACAACATGCGATCCCTGCTGGTGTGACTCACACGGCGCATGGTCCCCTGGCCTCTAAGGAGCTGAACAGCCCTGACTTAGTCAAAATGACTCATTTGCCTTTTTTTGATATTGCACTTTGTGGTGGGTATAGCTGAAATGCAGTCTGTGGAGTTCTGCAACATGGTCTGTGGCCACCTTTACATTTACTGTGAAGAGGTAGCCCATACAGGCAGTTGTTTCATGTACATAGTGATTCATCTGCTCCCTTGGCTTCAGATGGACTCATCTGGGACACTTTCTCTCTGCAGCTTTCCAGCCAGTCTTTTCCTATTAGAGCTGAAGCTGCTGCAGTCTCACTTCATCTAATGCAAATCCATGGAGGCTGCTAATACATTGCCAATGTGACTAGGCTAGATTTGAGCACCACAACCCGAATGAAGGTGAGCCTTGAAAAGGGGTTAATCCAGCAATATAGTGAAGAGAGAAAACTAGGGAAGGCAGCAAAGACACCAATGTTAAAATTCCTGGCTTCTTTTTGCAGACCTGTGTCATCCGTGCATGGGACATGACCAAACCTTTCCTGTTCTGCCCTGCGATGAACACAGCGATGTGGGAACATCCTATCACAGCTGAGCAGATAGAGCGACTGAAGGGCTTTGGCTACACAGAGATTCCTTGCGTGGTGAAGAGGCTGGTATGTGGAGATGAAGGTCAGTCCTTAGCTGCTTTTTCTCCCATGAAGTTCATGGAGCAGTTGATACTCTCAGGGTGAGAAAACCTTCTTGCCCTATGAACTTAAGAGTGCTGCAGTATGTAAAGAAGTGCCATTGCCAAAGTTTAGTAAAATGTATTGGAAAGAAGCTCTGATACAAACCAGGAAGAAATACTTGAAAATATTTTACCAGTTTTTAAAATCCATGTAGATCTTTCTCAGTGATAAGAGTCTGGACCAGAACCAGGAGTCAGGATTACTGGTCAAGAAGTTGGCTTAGCCTCCTAAACTCAAATCCACCTAATATTTGAAAAGTAAATGTTACTAACCATTGCCCATAGATTCATAGAAAAGAAAGGCCAAAAGGGACTTCAAGAGGTCATCTAATCCAACCTCTTGCTCAAAGCAGGATCGCTCCTGTCTAAACCATCCAAGACAAACATTGTTCTAACCTTTACTTAAATTCCTGGCAAAGAACGTCCCACAACCTCTCTAGGTTGCCTGTTCCAGCACATAACCGCCCTCATAGTGTAGGATAGGAGGATGGACAAGAAGAATGGTCCTATGTTCCAGCCAGGATTCTGTTCCATGCTCTGCTGAGTTCAAAGAATCGTAGAAAATTAGGCTGGGAAGGGACCTCATGAGGTCATCTAGTCCAATGTCCTGCTTAAAATGGGAGCATCCCCAACTAGATCATCCCAGGCAAAGCTTTGTCTAGCCAGGTCTTAAAAACCTCCAAGGATGGAGATTCTACAACCTCTCTGGGTAACCTGTTGCAGTGCTTTACATCCTCCTAGTGAGAAAATTATTCCTAATATCTAACCTAAACTTCACTTCCTGCAACTTGAGACTGTTGCTCCTTGATCTGTTGTCTGCACTACTGAAAACAGTCTAGCTCCATCCTCTTTTGAACCCCCGTTTGGGTAGCTGAAGGCTGCTATTAAATCCCCTCTCAGTCTTCTCTTCTCTAGACTAAATAACCCCAGTTCCCTCAGCCTGTCCTTATAAGTGATGTGCTCCAGCCCCCTTACCATTTTTGTTGCCCTCCTCTGGACTCTCCATTTTGTCCACATACTTTCTGTAGTGGGGGGCTCAAAACTAGACACAGTACTCCAGATGTGGCTTCACCAGTGCTGAATAGAGGGGAATAATCACTTCCCTAGACCTGCTGGCAGCACCCCTACCAGTGCAGCCCAGTATGCTGTTAACCTTTGCAACAAGGGCACACTGCTGGCTCACAGTCAATTTATTGTCCACTGTAACCCCCAGGTCCTTTTCTGCAGAGCTGCTGCCCAGCCAGTCAGCCCCCAGCCTGTACTGGTGCATGGGATTGTTCCATCCTAAGTGCAGGACTCTGCACTTATCCTTGTTGAACCTCATGAGATTCCTTTTGGCCTAATCCTCCAATTTGTCAAGGTCGTTCTGAATTCTAGCCCTACCCTCCAGCATATCTACTACTCTCCCCCCCCAACTTGATATCATCTGTAAACTTGCTGAGTGTACACTCTGTGCCATCTTCCAGGTCATTGATGAAGACATTGAACAAAACTGGCCCCAGGACCGACCTCTGGGGCACCCCACTTGATACCAGCTGCCAACTAGACATTGAGCCATCGATTACTACCCCCTTAGCCTGATGCTGCAGCCAGTTTTCTATCCACCTTAAAGTCCATTCATCCTGCCCGTACTTTCTTAGCTTGAGTTCCCACAGCCTTCCTATGTGCCCCGGGACTAGTCTCACTAGGACTCAAATTCCCAATCTGTAAAATGGGAATCAAATTCCTATTGCACAGTGTCTGTGCATTAGGATAACTGCACTGAAGATTGAGATGCTCAGATACTATAGCAGTGGAGCCAGATGTATTGATGGAGGAAGAAAGCTTGTTTTGTGTGTATTTTAAATACTTTTGAGTTATCATTAATTAGACTTGTGTGAATAACTATATTTTTTGTTCTTCCAAGAACAGAAAATCTATTTTAGCTCAACCCTCAATGAAAAATATTTAAAATTTCTGGCATATTGAGGAGTTGAATAAAAATTCATTGCAAGCAAATGAAGAATTTCTTTTGACCTGAAACAAAAATATTTCATTTTATTTTCAAGCGTTTTTGATGTAATAGCAGTACATTTTCTAAATGAATTGTTTCACACTGAAATGCATCAACTTTTTAATTTTTTTTTCTGATAGGAACAGGTAGGTAAAATCAGCATGAATTCACAGAATGTTTTAGTACCTGAAAATTGGCTATTTTTGCTAAAATAATTGCAGCTGAAAAATTTCATCCAGTTCTATTCATAATAGGAAATTAGGTCCTATAATGCAATAATTATAAATATAACTTGTTTAAGCAAGCACAGGTATAGTAATATTTTTACAACTGTCAATAACAAGCACAGTTTATAAGGAAAATAAGATGTTCATAAATTGTCTTTATGCTTCTTCACTAGGGACTGCTTCCACTGCTCCTGATCTTTCAGGAATACAATGCACCTCCACAAAACAAAAACCTTTTTTGGAATTGAGTTCCAATAAGTGTTTATGGTTGGGTAAATACATTTATATCACTTATAGCTTGGTTAAAACATACCAGACAATAGCAGTTCCACTGGAATTCTTACAGTGTATTATATCAAGTGTCTTACATATCTGTGATTACGCTAAATGGGAACAACCCAGAGAAGCTAAAACCAAAGGCATTTTGGGAGAAGGCAAAAAGCTGTTTGGATCACTATGCCTTCCTTTTCTCATCTTTTCCTTCATCTATCTATCAAAGGTACTTACTGCTGTAGTTCCTGAATGCCTCCCATTTTTAATGCATTATCCTCACAACATCCTTCCTTTGGGTAAAGGCATACATACTCTGTAGGACGAGTGAGGCAGTAGGGACTGTGACTTAAGTATTTTTCATGTTATTCCATAGAAAATACTCAGGATGTAGGAAGGAACACAGTTGCTTTGTGATAATGAGGCCATTTTAGGAATCTTGAGCCATTCCTGATGCCCACAGTTTATGGTAGTGACTGGCCTTTTGGACTTGACAATGGAATTTGATCTTGCGGTGTTCTGCCAGTGCTTTTGATGCAATTCACTACAAAAAACTTCTTGGAAAATGCATTGGCCCACTCTATTGCTGTGATGCTGGATTTCATTAGGTATTACAGTTGTGCAGTGTCCTTGGTACCAGGGTTTCACTGTATGTGTGACTTTGCTCTGCAGGTCGAGGTGCCATGGCAGAAGTATGGACCATTGTGGAGAAGGTGAAGATGACCTTTTCAGAGAGGGACTTGCCAACATAGAGCTGATCCCTTGATGTCAGTTGCGTATCTTCTTCCTCCTTGATAGCTTTTTCAGTGTGAGGATGAAAACAGCAAGAGCTCAGATGGGATGGTATGAACTTTTGAAGCGCTGCCTTCAGCTGAGAGAACAAGTGCTTGTATCTTGGTACCCCCAGCTGTGGCTCCAAAACCTGATGCATTGGTATCAGGACCTTCTGGAACTGAAGCCAAGGTTATATATATGTGTGCGCTAGGGCCCTGTGCCATCCATGTATATATATGGATCTTCATAAACAAAAGAAGTTATATTGTACAAAGCCAGTAGTCCCGGGTTATTTTCTATGGAATAATTTTAAAGACACTGGATAAAGATTCTCCCGTCTGCTCCAGGCTTAGCATCTTCACATAGGAGTCAGAGAAGGCCTGGTATAAAATCACAATTGTTGGGAATGGTCCCAGCTTCTTCCAGGAAGAGACCCTTTAAGGACGAAAAGAAGAGCACTGTTGTTGAAAACCTTGTACAGCAGCTGCTCCCACCTTCCCCTTTTCATCAAGAGGCATCGTCCTAAAGAATTTATATTTCCCTACTGGCATATAGTGAGACAGCTCCTAATGTACATCCAAGGAGCTGTTTGCCTTTTTCTTTGGATCTCATCTTAGTGCCTGATTTGCAATCTCTAAATTTATTTGAATGTATTTTTAATGCCAGTGGAGGAAAATACGTGACCGAAAGAGAGAATTCATGGCCCTGAAGGTGTCTTTGCCCTTTGGTATCTATTGATGCATAAGGATGTAGACATCAAATGAAAACCAAAATGAACTCTTGGCATCACCCTTTGGGTGTACCAGGGCTTGGGATCACCACATTTGGCCATTTTGGAAAGTCTGGGATAGCTGTCTGGGGGAAACTAAACTTAACTTTGACATCCCTCTTCAGATGGAAAATTAACTGGAGGAGGAGGTTGGGAAATCCTGATGGCTAACACCTCGGGTTACGTTAGTCGGGGGCCCTACAGTTCAACCTGCTCCTTTGAAACATGAACTTATCACCTGAGGGAGTTGGGAATGAACTGGGGAGGGGGTGTGGTTAGTGCCCTTCCTTGTACACACCATGGAGTTCGTTTACAGATCCTAGAGTTTGAGTTTATTTTTAACTAATGTCAGTCAAATATAAGGCTGTCAGCACAGTGTGTGTGTTTCCTGGATTTGGAGCAACCTTCACGCGGTGTAGCCCGAGGGAAAGGTTATCTCCAAATGTGTGGTTTCCTTATCGATTCCACACTAAAACTTCTGAGCTTTCCCACATTCGCTGCTTTCCTGAGGATCAGACCCCGTGGGGTCCGGAGCTGCTGGGGATAAGGGCAGGAGGGAGCATTGCAGCCTTACAAGTAGCAGGAATATCTTGGTAGCGTGCTCCATTGTAGCAGTAAGAATTTTGCTGGCAAAGGGATGTTTAAATGGCTTCTAATCCTGTCTCCTGCCACTAGCAGTAGCATATTGCTGGCAGTGTTGTCTTATGCTGGTGAATGACTGTAGAGCGATGCTTATGTTTATGGAACATGTCTTTATACTGTTCGATTGTTATAAAGCTTTTATGATACTGACACAAGATCAGAGCCAAAGCCCACTGACATCACCTGGGAAGACTTGGATCAGGTCTTCACCGTGCGTTACAGGATCTTTGGGTGCGGATATGACACACGATTGCTACAGAGTATTTTACCCCACTTTTTACTCCCCCTAGCTGGCTGTCTAGCAGGTTTATTGCAGTGTGGCCACTAGGTGGCAGAAAGCCAGTTTGAATTGAACAGAAGGCTAGCTGCAGTGAACCCACTAAGGAAGTGAACAGGCACCAGCGTCATTTATACTGATACACAGTTACTCACTTTCTGAGGGCCAAATTTACCTCAGAGTAGAGTGACTTACACTGGTGCAAGTCTGTGTCATGTATCCACTGCCCTTTTGTTATTGAGTAAGGACAATTTACTGTATAGAAAATGCATTAGGTGTCAGCATCCTTTAAAAAAAAAAAAAGTCTTATGGTTACAGTAGGAGTCAGGACTTCTGGTTTCAATTAGTGACTTCCAAGCCCATACAATAAGTCACTTACCCTCTCTCTGCTTCAATTTCCTCATCAAAAATGACAGATTACAAAATTACTTTAAGAAGGTATTTGTTGAGAGGACTAATTAGTTAATGCTTGTAAAGCACTTGCAAATCCTCAAATCAAAGGAATTAATTATACATTAAAGTAGAGCTTAATGCACAGCACAGAGGAGGGAGGAAGGGGAAAATACGAGCAGACAGTGGGATGATTAGCAATATGTAAAGAAGAAATGCCTAAAACAATTCAGGCTGATATTTATTTCTAAGCGATAACATCCCGCTCTGTTTTATGGCTGTTACAAAATTAGACATCAGTGTGCCAGTGCATGATCCTTTGTGTAATTGTTGCTTGGTACCTCAAATAAATGCTTTTTAAAGGTAGCTGTTTATTACCTACAGAACATGATATTATGGGTCGGGTTAAGCCTCTTAAAACTGATGGAGTGAAGCCACACTTCATTTCAGATAAATATAAGCAACAGTTAAGTTCCTTTATGAACCATCTAGCTGAAACAACCGCCTCTACCCAACACCTAAACACCTGTCACTGTCCAAAATAAAAACACAGGCAAGGTACATATGGACAGAAAGGTTTTGTTAGGTATCATTTTGTTATGGCAAAAATAGCAAGAGCAGCAGAAGGCGTAGGCAGAAAGGAAACCCCACAAGCAGCCAGCCACAGAAACATTGGCAGCCTGGCTCTGAGGGAGAGCTTTTGGGTGGAGTGCTGGCTAGAAAGGGCCCCAGAGCTGTGAGCAAATTAACTGTTTCCTGCTATGTTCAGGAAAAGAGTCCTTTATACAGTCTTTGTAAGCAAAGAGGATTGCATCAGAGAGCACGATCTCTGTCCTCAAGTTCTCTTCCTAGCCAAAACACTGGGAACCCTGACTTTTTAGCTAACAACTCAAGTCAGAGAAAGGTAGCATGCTGTATGTTAGACAGCAATTGATGGATCTCTCAGAAAATCACTTGTGAGTGTTAAATGAGTGAAGTAAATTAGATGTGCCCCTTTTGTTCTCTTCTTCTGCCAAGTATATAAAGACCCTGGGGCTGAAACATTTGCTGTGATTTTTCAAGTTGCTGTTTTTTACTTCATTTATTTTTCGCTGACATTTGTAAATTCTGATTCAGTCTATCCTGTTTTTCCTGAAATATCTATGTGCACGGGGATTAGTACAATTATGACATCATAGGCGGCATGTAAGATAACCCTGGTTAATTGACAATATTTTTGTTAACACTCCTTTGTTTAGAATTATTTTTGAGCAGTTGTTTAGTTCATGCCTGAAACTAAAATTCTCTTTGTTAAAGATTGGAGGTCCTAGTTAAGAGCTAAGAAAACCCTGGTTCCATGCTAAGAGCATAATTTAGAGTATGCTTTGGAACATATTAATTATCAGGTAAATAGCCTACTGAAAACATGTTAATTCCATGGGCCTTTGGCATGGTAGTTATACTGATGGAGGGAAAGCCTAGGAACTTGGTCAGTTTAGTAGGTGTTAAAGGGTGTCTTCACTAGAGTGGACCCAAATTCTCTCTCCTAACGTTACTTCTCGTAAATTAGCCTAGCTTAAGTGAGAGCAGCCATGTTGTAAAATTATACTTGAGTTGCTGATTCTGCTCTGGCACTGTATTCATTCACACATGATGCTGATACCTCAGGCCTCCACCCAGGTTCTTCATGCTTCAATAAGCTAATCTATGAAATATTTTCCAGTGAATTGGAGGAGAACTACTCTGGCCTTTCTAGGCATATGGAAGGGAATTATAGGAAGGCTTTGGAGGATCTGTTGCACTCAGGTAGAGCTAACCATGTAGTCATGTTATCAGCTGAAGAAAGGTGCCGGTTCTGAATTTAAGTCTGTACTCCACCTTGCAATAAAGACAAGGCCACAAGTCCATTGCCTTGTCTGCACTAGGCAATTAACACTATTTAGCTAACAACCTCTAAATCCTACTCATGACAAGGTTTCAGACAGTAGTTCTCAACCTATTTAGACTTGAGGTATGCCTCAGAAAATGCCAGCTCTTTAGCTTTTACTCATTTTTTTGACTACAGAAAAATTATAGAGCATTTCTTCTGTCACGAAGAATTCAGAAAGACCAAACAAGTCTGAATGGTTTCAGTACAATGGATTTCTGCTTGAAATCTTGGATTCTTGTGAATCATGTTTGCACACCTAACAGTGCTAACATTGTATGGCACCCCATAGCATCCTTGAAAGGATCTCGAGGCACCCCAGAGTGCTACGGCACACTGGCTGAGGGCTTAAACCCTCCAGGGAGAGTCCATCAAAACTAAAAGTAATACAGGGGGTAATAATTCTGGATCAACTAAGGTAAAAAAAGTCAAGAATAAAAACCTGTTATTCAAACTTCCTTTCATTATAACATAATCAACAACCAAAAAAAAGCACAAATCCATTTCTCCCTTTGCAGGTTAGATAGAGATTGAGCACTGATCTGTGCATCAGCCAGGGTACCTGGTACAGTTACCAGTGAAGATTGTCATCCCCCAATTGCTCCTACCCCCTCTTCTTTCTTAGGGCTTTGGTTCCCACAGTAACTTGTGAGAAGTGCCTTGGAGCTTGTGCACGTAGGCTGCAGAGTTAACACCTGACTGATGCAAACAGGGTAGCGTGCAGCGAGGTTCACACCTTGTGCAGCTGTTTGGCTGGGACACCTCTGCAAGGCAAAGGAACAGGGGAAGCAATGCGGTTTGCATCTTCGAAAGCTCTTTGCAACAGGAAGCAACATGCTTTTTTTTCACAAGAGAGTGGCTGGAGGATTCAGCAGGGACAAGCAGGAACCACAGCAAGCAGCAGAGGGACCTATAAGAACCCAGGGGATGTACAGAGGCTTTCCCTAACCTTCACAGAGACTCAGGAAATGGGGAACTAGTACTGATGGTTAGGCATTACAGGTAACATTTGAAATGGCTCCTGTTCATTAGTGTTACAGCTAAAATATGTGCTTGTCTGATAAATGCAAATGTAATTAACTAGTTCTTTAGCGGTATTAATTATACTGGCTATTGAGAAACTGGAACAGCCAGCCACTATAGCCAGGTGTAAAGCATAATCCTAAAAGTGGGCTTATTGCTGTTCACACTTGCCCTAGCAAAATTAAGGCCACTGGGGTACTTCTACCTAGGCTGCAATCTTACCTCCAGCTGCAGTGGTATATATAACTCAATAGAATTGAAACTGGGACTTGTCTCCTAATCTTTTTCTGTTTCAAAGATAGATTGCACAGTGTGAACCAAGGTGTGGCTTCATGGTTAACCCTACCAAGCAGGAAACGGGTTGCAGCCATACGATCCTAGCAGCAAAAAAGTGTGAACTCCACCAGTTACCTAGCACCCATCTGGGCTCTGAAATTAATACCTCCAAAGCCTCGATGAAGTCAATTGACATATGCAGAATTTTTCAAGACCAGTGATTTAAGAAATGCATATTACCATGGAATAAGAGACACCTCTATGTAGCATTTCTTGGGTCCTCCAGTCCCTTTCCTCTTCTGAAGGCTGATCTGTCCTCTTGCTTCGGATGGAAACGTTCCCTCTCCCTTTATTCTTAGGGAGGGAGCATGTGGCTTGTCAGATACTTTCCTAAAATGTCTGTATAGCACCAAGCACAACTGGGACCCTGTTTTCCAAAGGACTTCCATAATGTCAACAGCAGTACTATAATGCTGTAAACAGTTTATGGCTGCCATTAGGCAGATCAGGGACACTCATAGACCTCCACAGAACAAATACCTGTGTCAAGCCCCCATTTGGGCTCTATATAAGGCACAATATTGTTCCTTTGTACAGTTATAGACAATGAGAATAGATCACCCAACAGCCACCCTGCATAAATTAATGGAGTTTTCTAGGTGCAAATGCAGGGGTTAAGATAGGCTGCAAACTGTGAGAGCACAATAACAGAAGTGTGAGAGTGACCCTGAAAGGAAACAGAGGAACAGGGCTGCTTGGGCACCGAGCTCACAGGCATGGCAGACCCCAGATTTCTGAACAAAGAAACTACTTGCTCACATTTGTTTTGACTGTGTTCAGAGAAACAAGAATGAACACATTTTTGTAAATAAGATCACACCAAGAACACATGGACTCATATCACTGATTTCCAATCCTTGTTGAAATGACCCTGCTTAGCTAGCTGCACAGGCCAAAGGAACAACAGTCTAATAATCCTTGGCTTCGCTACTTCTCTTGCCAGCAGGGACTCGGTGCAGCTGAAAAGCCTATACCCTGTTCCTGAAGACTCAGCAGAAACCTTGCCAGCGCCCAAGGCCCTGGGAGTGGGAAGCTTCAGTACAAAACTAGACTTAGGTTTTCCAGTGTAGCTGTTGTTTCATATTCCACTACTGCCTAGAAGCCCTTTATATGAGGCACTGCACAAACAGTAACAATCCCTGCTGCAAAATGCTTACCATCCAATTAGATGGGCTAGCCAAAGGACAGGAGGGGAAACATGCACAGAAAAACAAAGCGACTTGCTGGAGGTCACTCACCAGGTCAGTTGTAGAGTTGGGACGAGAACCATGTGACCCAGCCTCAAGCCATTCATGAGCATTTACCTTGTTTACCATTGTAGATGTTGCTAGAAACGAGAGCAATATGTCTGCACTATGGATTTGCGGGGACAAGGTGCTTCAATTTTGTTTGATTCCTCTTGCTTGTGACATCTTAGATAGACAGTAACTTCCCCAGCAGAATGTTAGGCTACCTGTGAGCAGGTATAATAGTGACCATCACAGTTTTAAGCATTAACAAAAGCCAAATGCTCCACCAAGGTTCTGGAAATGTCTCCAATTAGATCTTGTAAATACCCCAGGTTCTTCTGCCTGGTGTAGTTTTCCAGTGCCCTCCCTTTGTCTTTTAAACGAGGATTACATTCAGAGCCGATGTCTCACTTGACATAATTCTGCTGTCTTGTGAAACAGACAGATGCTAGGCCTGTGTAAGTAGGGAAGTATTCCATTCAGATTCGGCTGATTTGGAGGACAGTGATTTGATTTAGTGATTCGAATCCTGTCCCCATTTGATTCAGTCAAATCAGAATTGGAGATTTGGATTGGCTGGGGAGAGGCAGGTACAACCAGGCAGCTGCAAGTTCTCCTGTGGCTCCTCCAGCTATGCCTGCCTCTCCCCAGGTGGGGGGAGCTGTGGGAGAAACCCCCATGGCTGCCCTGCCTGACCCCAGCCCCAGTCTCCTGGCACTTCCCCCCCCCCCCCCAAAAAAGCCCTGCACTCACTGGCTGCAGCAGCAGTGATCAGGGCTTCTGGGAGCTCATGGTAGAGCCCCCTCATGCAGCGCAGAGCAGTGGGAGGCAGCAGGGATCGCCCCTACCCCCTCCCTCGCCTGGCATGTGTG